ATTGTTGATAATGTTGTTATTATTGTTGGGTGTTGATAATGTTGATATTATTGGTGGGTGTTGATAATGTTGATATTATTGGTATTGTTGATAATGTTGTTATTTGTGTGGCATTGTTGATAATGTTGTCATTATTGGCGGGTGTTGATAATGATGATGTGGGATGTTTATTTTGTCTGTGTTTGCTTATCACAGATACAACGACACCACGTTTTATATGTTGTTTGGAGTGGCGAATTATTTGAACTCAGAGGCAGATATAAAGCGGGTAAGTTAAACATGTCTGGTTTTTAAAAATATTAAATGTGGAAATTTGGGTCATGAGCATGATTTAAAACGGCAAATACAACTTGAACATACAAAACATATTCCATAAGACAAGCGCTCTCGCAATGAAGTTTTTATTTGTTGCAAATCGACGTAGTTACAATGTACATCAGTGAACGCCATCATGTTCAAATACATAACTATATGCTGTTGTATGTAGTGCTCGTTATTTAGTGTTAGTGTATTTCTCTAAAAAAACCTTTTTGATATACGGACGGCAGCGAATCCCAAAATATATATATATATATATACGTTCTGAATGACCTTTCTGCCACTGAAACAAGTGTTGCGACACTAGAGGGCGCGATATAAGATACTTTCATTACGACATAACTTCTTCACTGCAGCTGACCGGACATGGAAACCCCACATAGTACGGTTTAGCTCAGTCATTCCACACAAACTAGTAGATGCACAGTAAAATGTGTTCATTTTTTATTACAAATCGATGTTAAATCATACATTTTCATGTTACAGTTGGAATCGTTTCGTCAGCTTTCCCAAGACCATGGGCTTGAAAAAGCGTTTCACAAAACATTGGAAGTCATACAAACCAACATAGAATGGATGGATAAAAATCACAAAGACATTCACGATTGGCTGGTGGAGAACACGCAACAAAACGCCGGTAATCAGTTTATCAGCACAACACAGAGCTGAAAACAGGATATAGTTTTACACAGTACATATGATATTAAATTTTAAGTTGTTTTTAGATCGCCCCTATGCCCATATCGGCCTGATCGTATCCAATATAAATACCGACACAATATATTAATTCAAAATCTGGTACGAAAGGTTGGTTCTGCTTTATTTTTAGATAAAGGTGCTTACTAGTTGTACTAGTTGACAAGAAACGTGGATGTGATATGAATACCTCAATGTGTAGCAATGTAGTACGAAGCTCTTACGCTTTGTTTTCCATTTCGTAAACCTCAAATAACAGCATTATTTATTGAAAGTGCACTATCTTGCCGTAGGTGGCACACTTACCATGAACATTTAAGTTGAAACACGCAGCCAATGAAAAGTTCTGATTATAGTGCATGTAAACATCGCAGTATCTTGTGTTTGAACATGCAGTCTTGCACAGAACGTTGATTATTTGTATGTAGTTTGTAAATATAAATACACCGGCCATTGAGTGTAGATATATTGACGTTTTAGGAAACAGATCATTCTGTTTGTATATTTCCAGCCATTGAAATGTACTGGTATCATTTTAAAATATGGTCGTCACTTGCGCATGCGCGGGAAATGAGTCCTAAGCGACGAAAACAACGCACGCTAAAAACGCAAAGGCTCACGGCTAGACGCTTGTTTGTAAACAACGACAGGTTATTGCTGTTTGCCGCATGTGCATGCGACGACTCTTCTGTCTTAATATATTGAAGATAATATTTGGTAATCGTAGTCCTAACTAACTATTAAAAATAGCTAGACGTTTCGAGCAATGGCTCTTTATCGATAGCATAGAAGCAAGTGTGATAACGTACAGGTAGAACATAGGAACGTAAGAACGCGCATGAACTATAAGTTAGAATCACAAAAAATTCCACAGTAGAACAAATAACGCGCCTTAGGTAGTGAGCTCAACAAATGAGTTGAACTGTTTGTTAATACCATGGGGTTCTTTAGTTCCAAGGCGGAATATAGTTTCCTCCTCGACACGCCTGAGCTGATTTTCGTTGCCATTGAGGAGACAAGTTCTACGTTTCCACTAATGCCTACTACTGCCTGGCGCCGTGACACTAATTTAAGGAGGTTATTGGTGCATACAGGTGAAAGGGGAGACCCTGAGAAATATGGTTCTGTCCCGTGTAATCGTCCTAGGTGTAATACTTGTCCTTTTATTACAGACACTAATCGTATATTTGGTCCCAAGGGAGATGTTGAGGTCAAATATCCGTTCAGTTGTATCACTATGAATGTTGTATATTGCATTTCATGTATTAGATGCGGTAAACTTTATATTGGTTCTACAGT